ACCAGCAGCTTTTTTTTTATTAAATCTGTGATCACTAGGAAATATTAGAAGAAAAAGCACAATATTTAAAATTTCATTAAGATTGAGAAAATTAGAACTTAGTTAAAATTTAAAAAGGACAGAAAATTAAATGTATTAAAGTTAGGACCTTATAGGACCTCATGAAAATATCTACACTTATGGTTTACTGCCTATAATTTTATTATAGATGGAAACTTTTATATTCGTAACTATATGTTTTAATATACCATATCATTAGTTTGCTTATATCTCAACAAACTAAATTATGATACTGTTAAATGCTCTTCAAATAAAAAAATCAATTTTAATGGCTTTACAATTATTTTTATAATTGGTTGTTAGACAATACCTGTACAGGAATAATTGGATTCAATATATAAATATTTTGGTAATGAATGTGTATAATAGTGATTATTCATCACTTATAGGCATATAATGAATAAAATTAAACATTCACAAACACTAGTATAAAATACATTGTTAGAAGAACACATAATGATTAACAAAGGTTATTTTATTATAGTGGGTCTTTCACTAGACTTTCCAAAGTCAGAAGACATTCTTGCTGTAATTTGACCACAGCTTCATAAATATTTAAGGTTATTTAATAAAAAAGGGAAGACAAGACACAGATTAAACATGAGAAATGCAGAATTTTAAACATAGGGGAAACACATAAATCTTAACAATAAGCAGTTGTATGGCTAGGAGATCAATGATGATGAATTAATATGCTATGTAATTAATCTAAGTTTATCCTGCTCTAAATGTATTTGTGGCAGAAGCACCTACCATTCAATTAAGACACAAAACTGAACTACATGACCATAAATTCAAAACTCCAGTTTCACAAAGAAAGACACGTATCTTAAGAGATCTGGAACACTAAACTAAAGCCATTTAAGATGAAAATTTTATAAATTGATTCTAAAAGAAGAATATCCAAGTGTAACAAATAATGTGATATAAATATGCAATAAATTTATCTATCTGAAATTATCAATTAAATTTTGGTTAGTTGTCAAATAATATTGTGTGATAAAATCTCATGCTATTTGCATTAATGATCCAAAATTTGTTATGTAATCAAAATGCATGTAAAATATTTTATATAATGCATATAAAATATAGTAAATCACATATAATAAATGGAGCCCAGGTTTGTCACTTAACATTTATTATGTTTTATTGCCTTTATTCTCTTACTGGTTAGTTTGTAGTAAAGCATATCTGTAACCCCCTATTAAATCTGTCTTCACAAGCTCAGACATTAATGTTTTTACTTATATACATATGTATTTATATTAGATACAATAATCATATTTAATCTGCAACATAATAAAATATATAGATAGTAAATATGGAAATATTAAATATGTAAAATATACATGATAAATATGTAACTAGTATAAATAATATTCAATATAAAATCTGTTTTTAATATTATAGTATGCATAAATATATATTTCAGATCAACACTATACCCATCTAAAAACCTAGTCTTCTACCTAAATTCCATCTCTCTAGGAATATTACTATCTTCCCAATCCAAAATCTAGGAGCTGCCTTAAACTTTTTCCTATTCCACTCCTATCTATGTTCAATCATCTACTTCTGTCTGTTTTTTCTCATTAGCTCTCAATTCCATCTCCTCAGTGGAATATTTCCACTTGAACTCTTTCATCAAAACCCACCTCTCATTTGGGCAAGAGCCTCCTATCTTGTGCCACTATTCAGAATTATATGAACCTTTAATCTATCCTTCCATCAACCACCACTAAGTGGTAATCTTATAATGCTCATCTATGAAGAAGTCTTAAATTATCTGTGTAACTAATTATCTACTCTTACAGCTCATTAAAATCACCCAGACAGATTTTTAACAATGTGTGGGGTCTTTAATAATTGTATCTGAACCACTAACATCACCCTAGATGACACTTAAGAATCATTGATCTAGAAAACCTTTAAGCATTGACATACAAGATTTTTCATAATTGAGATCTACCCACAGCTTTTGGGGGTTTTGTTTGTTTTTTCTTTTTATTAATTATTTTTTCTTGCATTGTTTTAGTCCCCACAGTCTACTGCCACCATATCACCTGTGAATCATCACCATATTCTCTTGTGTTCTTCCTTCCCGTTTTGACTCTTCTACCTTCCCCCCTTCCCTTGCTGTTTGCCTCAGATCTATGGTCAGCTTACTAGTTTTAACTTTTTCTTGACCTTTTCATTGTTTTCTCTATATTACACATATAAGTGAGATCATCCGATATCTTCATCCTTCTGGCTTATTTCAGCTAGAATAACCCTTCCAGCTCCATCCATGTTGCAGCAAAAGGCATGAGTTTGTCTTTTTTTTTTTTTTTGATTGTTGAGTAACATTCCATGGTGTAAATATACCACATCTTTCTGATCCATTCGACAAATGCTGTAGAGAATGTTGGGATAAAGGAACCCTCTTACACTGCTGGTGGGAATGTAAATTGATCCAGGCTCTATGGAGAGCCCTGTGGAGGTTCCTCAGAACACTAAAAATGGACCTATGATACAACCCAGTGATTCCACTCCTAGGAATCTAGGACACAAAAACACTAACATTAAAGGAAACCTTCACTCCTATGTTTATTGTCGCGCTAGTTACAATAGCCAAGATAGGAAAACTACACAGCTTTTGTACTTCATTTCTCTTGCCTCCAGATATCTTTGAACACCTTTGCCTTCACCTCCCCTACTTCACCTGGCAATGGCCCTGTGTATCATTCAGAAAGCCATGCATTATCCTTTTCTCTTTGGATACTTCTCTGCCTCTGCTTTGCATACTACACTCCCTACTATTATAGTGGCAAACATGGAAATATTGAAAATGACCAGTTGAAATCAAATTTGCCCATTTAAATTTTAAGTCATTTTTCTGTAATGTAACGGATCACTCCAATAACCCTTCCTTTTGAATTCCAATCAACAAGTCAATGTTAAAGTGATCAGGTCAATAAAAATATTCTACCTAGGGCCTCCCCTTGGTGGCGGAGGCGGTTGAGCGCAGCGTTGTGAGGCTGCGCACAGTCTCTGCAGTGCTGGTTCCTTCCAGGCCTGCCAGCGAGGGTCCCACATGGCGGGGCAGACCTCTCCTGTCTTGCCCGCTGCTCCCCTCAGCAGTGTATTTCATCAGTCTGCCTGTTCTGTTCCCCTCTCTGTCTCTGGTGAATCCTCTCACCCTCCCGGGCATCTGGTCTGTACCCCAGTTCTTGTGTAAAATAAATAAATAAATCTTTAAAAAAAATATTCTAAATATTCTACCTATATTTTAGGAATTCTATTACTGCATACTATTAAAATGTAATAAATAAAAATGGCAATAAAACCTAAAGCTTTACGGGTAAGAAAAATACATTTTTCTAAGAACACTGTAAAATTTATCTTGAAATTTTCAAAAAAATAAGAGTAATATATGAATATGAAAATCATGAGAAAATTAATGGTTGTAAGTGATGGCTTTATGTTGTCTTTGAATCCAGTGACTAGCTCTTTAAAACAGATGAAAAAGGCAGAAATTCAAAAATGCTGGTTATTGTCCTTTGATTTCCACAAAGGAAGACAAAATGAAAAGTCATATTTTAAGGAATAACTAAAGAATTGGCTGGATGTTTGAAAACAGAATAGTAATGGAAGAATTTAAATAGTGATCTAAATCCTGTTGCCACATAAAAATTACTGGATTGTTTTAAACATTGTCCTTACTACAGGCTTCTCCTGTAAGAGCGTCTACTATAATGGGTCAGGGATGGGTTCCAACATCAGAACTTTTTTCATCGTCCCTGAGGGTATTCCATTGTGTAGTCTGGTAAAGAGACAATGAATCAGTACCTTTCCTACTAAAATAAAATTTGTCTTTTAAAAAGCAATTGCAATCTTCTCTCTCTCTCTCTCTCTTATTTAATTTGTGCATACAAGAACCGGTATGTAGGCCAGAGGTGTGGGGGGTAATTGGATTCACCAGAGACAGAATGGAGTACAGAACAGGCAGATGTACTAAAATACACTGTTGAGGGGAGCAGTGGGCTAGACAGGACAGGTCTGCTGTACCATGTTGGTTAGCTCCCTGGCTGGGGATGGGACGCATGTTGTGGTGGCTGGCGATAGCTTGATAGTGCTGTGTCTTTCACCCCTGCGCCACCAGGGAGGCCCACAATCTACCCTTTCTAATCAACATTATTTCTTTCCAATAAGAGAAAAAAATATGAGCATAGCAAACTGGAAAATATAGTTAATAGTTGTTGCTCAAGAATTACTATATATTGGGCCTCCCCGGTGACGCAGCAATTGAGCACTGGGTTGCAAAGCTGCCTACAGCCTCTGCAGCACCGGTTTGATCCCCGGCTGCTCCCCGGCCACCAGGCGAGGGTCCCACATGGCACACAGACCTCTCCTGCCGCCCACTGCTCCCCTCAGCAGTGTACTTCTGTTCTTCTGCCTGCTCTGCTCCCCGCTCTGGCTCGGTGAATTCTCTCACCCTCCCGCACGCACTTCTGACTGTACCCAGTGCTTGTATAAATAAATAAATAAATAAACAAACAAATAAATAAATAAATCTTAAAAAAAAAAGTTTAAAAAAAAAAAGAAAAAAAAGAATTACTATATATTAAGCACTATTCTAAGTAATACAGTGACCTTTTTATTCCTCACAATGGCTCTGTAAAGTTGTCACATTTATGCCATTGTATTTCTAAGCATAGACTCACTCATGTAATCAAAATTTACATATCCATTCAACAAATGTAGAAACTAAGGCACAGAGAACTTAAGTAATTTGTCTAAGGTCATATAGCTAGTGAATGTCAGGCTGGGATTTGAAATTGCATAGTCTAGCTCCAGATTTAATTTAAAAATACAAAATATGGGTGATGTGTGCTATGTAGCAGGAATAGAATAAAATTTATATGCAATATTACTAAACATGTCTTTATTATCCTCTTCAGAAGACAATACTACAAGCAAGACAGGAAAATGTTCACTTAAGAAGCTAAAATAAAAATCATCAGCTCCTAGGCCTTAGAAAGGTAATACTGTTTGGAATCACCTAGAGCTTTCACAACTTAGAAAGAAAAATACTGAGAAGTAAGTCAGAGTTTGGAAACCCAATTCTGTATTAAACGTGAAAGCAGGAGATTGGTTAGAAGTTTGACTCCCTGACTCCTCCCACCAGTGAGCTCCATAAGGAGAAGGAAGGTCCTTGTACATTCACTGTTGATGTAAAGTGCTCAGTAAATATATTTGAACAAGACCACTAGACCACCAGGGAGCATCTGAACAAATGAAATCAGCAAAATAATTTGTGAGAAGACTGAATTCAAAGGACAGAATAGTTTCAATTTATTTTAATACCATATTTTTTCCGTATTTTAGGAGGGATTTTCATCATGTCCATTAAATATCTTTATTTCATATGTAATTTATTAATATATTATAGAGCATTGGATTATGAAAATATAGTGTTTTTAATTAGAATGTCAGCTCTTCAGTATTTTAATTTATGCATATAAATTTTACCTTAAATGAATCATTTAGATGATAAATATATAATTATAATTTTAATATATATGACAATTATATGATAACTATAATTAGTAAAAATATAAAAATGGACATTTCTAATAATCAGTTCAAGAGCTAGAAAACAATATTGCTATCTCTAGGGCAGGTAATTAGTAGTTCTTTTGGTTCTGAGTGGGGTACTCATTCTGTTCTTAATATGGTGTGATTCCTCCAATTGCAGCTGGTGTCTTTACCCTCCTATTAATTAGCAAAACATAGCCACCAATCTACACTTAACCAATGACACAATAGCTGCACTGCTGTTGTTTTTTTTACCAGATAATATGCAAAACTCAAATTTCCTGTTGGTCAACTGATGTGAAACATCTCAGTGAGCAGTAACATCCATGGAGGGCTCTCTGAAGAGTGTGCTAAATTTCAAAACAAAATGAAGCAAGAATCAAAATAGTGGTTCACTTGATCATAATGCATGGTCCCCTAGTAGAAGTCCTCCGATAGGATTGCTCTTATGTGTTGCAGTCTGGTTTATATTGAAGAGAATTACAAGAAACATCCAAGTGAACCACAATATTCTACTTATAGAAATGGTGCTGAGGATGTGGGTTCTCAGAACCTCTGTCTATGAGGGAAATATCTCTTGGGTCTCAGTGATCACTCTAAGTAGGGTTCTCTTTTGTAACAGGAAACAGGAGCCCAACATGTATTATCACAATTTCATTTTTATTTCTCTACACATTTTCCTTTTTTACATTTACTCACATTTCAATGCAATTTACTTACTTTTATTAATATGTATATTTCTTTAAACCATCCCTTTCTGAGGTACTGGCAGTCTGTGAATAAACACAGTTCTACAATAAAAGTGAATGAAACTGAGATAGTCAAAGAAAATCAGATACTACTGACTATGAAGAATGACGGACACAAGTTTCAAAATTACAAATGCTCAATACAGATTTTAAAATCTAAAAAAATTAAGGAACCTATTTCATTCAGTCATTAGTTTGAAAACAGAGACTGCTGAACTTCTAAAAATATTATTTTGATTCAGTTATTTTAGAAATTTGTACCATAGTTATTATAATTAAATATCCAACAGCTTTGCAAGACAGGGTGACATTAAATGTATGTCATGACTCAAACTGATTTCTATGTGGTTGAACTTTAAATAAAGAGTTGTTTAATGGTTAGAAGAATAAATGAAGATAATGTAGAATTCTGAGGGACTACAACCCTCACTTCTAAGATTACATAGGTTTTTCTCTGGTTTAGTAATATCAAATAATGACACGATTCTACACTTCACTTTTTTAATTTAGTGAAGTTTATGTTTAACTCACATGCACTGTTAAAGTTACATCTTTGTGCAAAAGAAATAATGACAGTAAGATGCACTAGTTAAATGACAGAATACATTTCACTCTATTTTGAGCACTAATTCACTAGGTATAAAAGACAAGACAAAGAAATTAGAAGTAGAAAATTGACCACTTGGAATTTTCTCAGCAAATTAGAACGCTTTTGATTAATTAAAGAGAAAAAGATTCCAAAGCTTTTAAACTGATGTGCAAATTTAGTTATTATGGCTTTTATTTCAAATTGTATGGAGGCATCTTCCAAACTTACCATTCTTACAAATCTTGATAATCACTTTACTAAAAAGCACCCATTATCACAATTCAGGTGATAAGGCACTAGGTAACAATGAAAACGAATTAGCTATGACTACAAAATGGGGTGGAGGGGATGCCTTCTTTCCCCTTCAATTCGAATACAATTTTATTTTTTAGAATGAAGAAAACAGAAAGCAGAAAAAAATTTCATAAAATCAATGCAAGATGATTTCATCTGACAAGTGGAATGGGGGTGGGAAGTGTAGGTGTGAGGAGCTTACTCTTTTAGTTAAGTTAAAAACTAAATTGTGACAGAATCAGAACCAAAAAAAGATTTTTGAAAGACTACATGTTAGATTGAAATTCCAGACTTACACTTTTCCATAGATATTAACATATTTTAGGGGCATAAGCCATGTTCATGACACAGTAAAATTACCATTACAATAGAGGGTGACTCATAAGAAGAGGCAGAGAAAGATGTACAACAATCCTGTAAGATTAACTTAACTTAACCTAATGATGATGGTATGTAGAATTTACATGTAATTTAATTTCTAATGGTGTAGCTCCCTGGTATTGTAAACACAGGGAAATATTACCCAAACATATACTTTCCCAATGAAATTTCTTAGGTGTTATAGCCTTTTGGGAACCAAGATTGGATATAAGACATTCTATGTTGAAGACTCTTTAAAGAGTCTAATAAATAAAAATCCTTTTAGTTCTAAGGAATGGCTTTTAAGCCCACAGAGACATGTTTTTACCATCATAGGGTTATGTTTTCTTTGAAACAACAGCAATTAAATGAAAAGGATAGTCTTTGGATCCATTTAACTGCAGATATTAAACAGATAAATATAAACTGTTTTAAAAATGATTCTGATGAAATATAAAACTCCCTCAAGGAGAGCAGAAGAATCATTGGAATTAAAATTATTCAATGCTTGAATATAAGTGAACTTACTAAAATAAAAGGAGAGACCTTCCAATTCTAAGAAACAGGCTGCAAATGAATTGTATAAACAAATTTTTTAACAGTAAGAACTTTCTAGGTATTTGCTAAGAATATACATATAACAAAGAAAATCTAATTATATGATATACAATTCTAATAGCCAAACTTTAAAAAAAAAAACAATTGTTCTGTATAGTATCTATAATATACATCTCATCCTCACTGGAAAATTGGTTCATTTTTTTTAGGGACTAGTCTAATGAAATTTTTAATATATGAATTTTTAGTTGAAAACATCAAACACAAGCCTACCTGGACCAGGCAGTTAAAATAAGCAGTCAAGGGGCCTCCCTGGTGGCACAAGGGGTTGAGCATCGCACTATGAAGCAATCCGCAGCCTCTGCAGCACAAGTTCGATCCCTGGCCAGCCCGGGAGCAACCCACATGGTGCAGCAGACCTCTCCTGTCTCGCCCACTGCTCCCCTCAGCAATGTATTTCAGCCAGTCTGCCTGTTCTGTTCCCCGCTCTGTCCCTGGTGAATCCTCTCACCCACCGCATCTCTGGCCTATACCCCAGTTCTTATATGCATAAATAAATAAATCTTAAAAAAAAAAAATAAGCAGACAAGGAGAGCCTGGTGTACAACAGTAGGACATGAAGGGAACTGAAGAATGCCTGCCTCTGCTCAAGGCATCGAAAAACAGAAACCTTAAAACACTCCATGTGCCAAACAATTTAAGAGCCATATGCAGCCTCCCAAGCTGCCAGATTGCAGCTCAGATAACTAGAAAAACAGTAGCCAAAATAGAGATCAACCAAAAATGTGAACTTAGCCAACAGTAGATGCCAGGAAATTCTAACTCTCACAGGATGAACAGAATGGAATAATTTTTCATGAACATGCTTTAGTTAGTAATCCTTACATATACAATTTGAGGTACATAAGAGTACAACAGTAATGAAACCTCTTGATTATTAACATCTGCCATTTATCTTTGAAAACTAGATGTTTCTAGGTTCAGGTGAGGAAGGGAGAATCTCAGTTCTGAATCTGTAAAAATTCTGAATCTGTGTGTCGGAAAAAACAGTATGTCTGAGGCTCACTAGTAACCCAGGTTCTCTTCATTCAGAAGAGGGCAAGTCACTCCTGAGCACTAAGTGTGATGTGGGTGCAGCATCCTGTGATCTCAGCTTTCAGGGTTGGCCTCTCATGAGCATGTTAATTTACTGAGAACCTAATGAAAAGTGGTATATATCAAAATGCACTTATAAATTATCATTAAATCCAGAAGGAGTCTGTTGCTAGTAGTGGAGATGACAGAGAAGAGGTCAATAGGCTTGACATTTTTCTCCAGACCACCAGGACATTATGGTGAGAAAAAGTCTGAAAAACTTTGGGAACATTACCAAGTTTCCAGATGCCTTTAGAGGGGTATTCTCATAAGGTTATTGCAGAAAGGAGGCTACTGACTCCCTTTCCTACTGAAAATTCCAGAGAAACTTGGGGAAAAGGAGTTATTGTTCTGGTAATAAATTTAGAAATCTTTATAGTAATTTTTTTTATGTAGATAGTCTGATCTGTTTGGGATTCCTTAAATGTGTGTATTTAATAATCACTTGTTAAATATCAATATTTTCCACACTATCTCCTTAAGATTAATTATTTAATGTGATGGTCAAAGAGCAAGTATTTGTAGTGATTTTTTTTTTTTTAAAGATTTATTTATTCATACATACAAGAACCAGAGTACAGGTTAGAGGCACAGGAGGGTGAGAGGATTAACCAGACTCAGAGTGGGGAGCAGAACAGGTGGATTGACTGAAATATACTGCTGAGGGAAGCAGCAGATGAGACAGGAAAGGTCTGCTGCACCATGTGGGTATCTCACCTGCCTGACCGCTGGGATGGACCCTATGCTTCAGAGGCTGCGGACAGCCTCACAGCACTGCGCTCAACCACCTGCACCACAAGGGGAGGCCCTGTAGTGCATTTTTTACCAGACCTCTGTTTTATAATAAGTTTCACTAGTACTGGATTCCTCATATTTCTAAAATACTGAAACATACTGGTTTCTCACTCTTTGACAAAAAAATAAATTCCCTTAAATTTGGATTTTTTAATGAAAATAATTTGGTTTACTTTTAGTTAGAATTTCTTACATTAATCATTCATTACTAATAATGATTAAATTAATAAAATCAATGAACTTGTTATATATAACAACAGGTAACATCTATTGGCAAATTTCTATGTGTAGACACTATATTAAGTATTAGATATTTATTTGAAATAAATTTCCTCCAAAATATTTGATGTAAGGGTCTCCCCGGTGGTGCAGAAGGTTGAGCACAGCTCTGTGAAGCTGTCCGCAGCCTCTGCAGCACGGGTTTGATTCCCAGCCCGCCAGGGAGCAACCCACATGGCGAAGCAGACCTCTCCTGTCTCGCCCGCTGCTCCCCTCAGCAGTGTATCTCGGTCAATCTGCCTGTTCCGCTCCCCACTCTGTCTCTGGTGAAACCTCTCATCCTCCCGTGTCTCTGGCCTGTACCCCAGCTATTCTATAAATAAAAAATAAATCTTTAAAAAAAATTTGATGTAGACATTGTTATACTCTCCCCTTTCAGATGAATGAAACAAGGCACAGAGAAGTTACAAAAGACAATGAAACTAGTAAGTGATAGCATGGTGACTCAAAACCAAGCTTAAATTTATACTCATATTCCCTCTGTCTTTTTCCCTCAGTGTTATGCTTAATTGTATAAATACCACAAAGAAAGTAGACTTCAAGTTAGCAGTAAAGAATAATACCAAGTTTTATAAAAAATATTATTTAGATTCAAGAAAATTTACACAATGGATATATTAAAATATTTTGGTCTAATTCTCTTCCTACAGGTCTATTCATTATTTTACAAAAAAAGCATTCCATTATGAATGTTTCACCCATTCAAACTCAAAGATCGAAAACATGATTTTTGTAACAGTGATCTTAACTCTGCAAGACCTTTTATTATGAGGAAAAGTCAAACAAAATCCTGAAATTTATGAAAGGTATAGATAAAGGAAATTCAGAATTTTAAGACAATTCTGTGACAGATGGTTCTTTTAAAAGAAATATGGAAACAAAATTAATGATCAATTTCATGGCTTATTCTAGAACCAGATGTGAAATCTCATCTTTATTGAGGACACCAACCCAGCATGGAATAAATTAACTTTTCCATATGATGTGAATAGTAACACAGATGATTATCATTTCAAACAACCTAAAATCCAAACCAAAAAGTCCTTGTTTGGCTGAGCCCCAAATGACCTACTCAGGTGTCTTGTAAAACATAGGATACATCATAATATTAAAGTGCTTAGGTATCATTTAACTGTATATTTGTCTTTATTGGATTTATTAACAGATACTATTTAATATATCACTTGGTAATGAAATTTTTCATCATTTCTTTAAAAAGTCTTTGAGACTTTGTATTAAGATGATATGAATGCCTCCTCTAAAATAAATATTGTGTAAATAGCTCCTTCAAAGACTGAATTTTAAAACAAAGTAAATTTTATTTAAATACATAATTATTTAGCAGAACATAAAGTCAGTATTCTAAAACAAAAATACTTTCAAAAAGAATATTTGCTGTTGCTGGGAAAAATACAGAATTTTTTTTTCACATAGATTCTGGAAAAGAATCAATCTAAATTTAAATGTACTATGAAAACATTAATGAATATATTGTGATGTAAAGTTATATCCTATAAAACTTGGAGTCCCTTTGTGCAGTCTTTTAAGCCAGTTAATGAAAAAAATCTAAGATTCTATTTACTCTAACAGACAGGTTACACATCTATGATAACTCCCTTTCATTTTAACCAGAACAAATACCTATACTATGAATAAAATATTAAATCAAATCTTGAGCATGTAAGTCACCTGTGCATATTTTGCTCTCTTGGAACATGAATGAATAGGCTGCTATGAGAAGATGGTACCTTCATAGCAGACTCGACAAAAAACTTGAAGGGAGGAACATTTTAATACTGTGTGTGATGTCAATGCAATAAAGTACCAAATAAAACATAATACTTTTCCATCTTTATTTCTTTAAAACTCATCCCTATAGAATAAATATCTACAAAGTAATATCTTTATGTAAATGAAACCAACTGAATATGTTTTCTATCTTACAAGTTTATTTTACCTTCCAGTTAATTTTAAATTAAATGGGGAAAGGCTATTCTTTTTTCTTTGAGGTTATTCTAAATTTCCTATTTTTTAAGCTAAAATGTTTTTACATAAATTATTATTCAAAAGGGTAGTCATGAGATAGTTTTATAAAAAGAAAAATTACATTTTTAACCTCAAAAGCAATGAGATATCTAATAATTTTTAATTTGCAAGTGACTAGTTATCAATTTTTAACTCCTGAAAAAAGATATATTTACCCAAGGTGTAAATACCACAAAATATAAAAAAGAAAGAAAAATTAAAGTGGGATTACAGAGAAATGAGTAGGACTATGTACTCTTGAGCTATAATGATTGCATAGGGGACATATTTATGTAAAATGTTTCTTCTATACTAAAGAAGATGAAAAAGTTGAAAATATTAGTAGATTAGTTGTTATAATTGACAAAGAATATTAAAATATATTAAACCCCAGTCAATGGAAAACATACTAAAATGAAAACTGTAATACACTAACCTTTTGTTAAGTCAGTTTTTTTTAACTAAGTTTATTTTTCAGGAAAAATTATTTAAATAAAAATGTATTTAATTTCAAAGCCATTTTCTGAAGGGAAAAAATTCCAGAATATTTTATACAACTAATTATTGCAATAAAACAATAGTTCATATCTCATATTATTTAAATAATGGTTGTTCAGAAAGTGTAATGTTCAGAAACTAGAGTAAAATCAGACAAGCTACTTCAGGCCACCAAAATGTGAAGCAGTTACTTAACATCTTGAGAACTTCTGTTTTTCAAGTTAATTCATTCCTTTTAAAATTTTGTAAATAACAATATGACAAGTGATACATTATGAGTTAACTTTTCCTTTCTTTAAAAAATACATGTTAAAAATTTTCACATGAAAATCTTACTAGAAAATTCAGCTTTAACTATGTTAAAATCTATTACATACCTAAGCAAAACCACAACAAACAACAAAGCACCAAAAGCTGCAACCCAAGAGAATGAAGTTAGTCCTCTTGTTAGACAAAATGTAGACACACGTGTATATAAACACCAATAAAGCAAAGAAAGGGTAAAATATCATCTTCCAGACACATGTGATCAAATATATAGACAGCTACTTAAAGTTAAGGATCAAGATAATAAGAATGCCTCAAACAGGCCTCAGTTTTAATAAGAAAAGTGTCACAGTCTCCCTTGTGTGGATATTGGTTGCTGCTATCATTTTCTAGCAAATTCAAAGACACGGAGAGAATAAATAGAATCACTGCACCTGTAAAATGACTATAAAATGACATGCACCTGTAATATATGAACATTTTCATTACAGCTTGTCTTACCTCATAAGACCAGACACACTGAGTCCCACCAAAACGTCGAACACATCTTCCTACTTCCACATCCTCGTGAGTCGTGTACATTTCTCGGAGGCATTCACCAATATGGGGCACCATCCTCCTGAGAACTTCTCGACTGAAGATCATGCCAGGTCCTCCCATACAGAAGTTCTCACCTGGCTCCAGCCCCAGCTTTCCAAGTTCTTCAATATTGCCCAGGCCAGTCTGGCCCAGATAGAGGGGCTTGCTGCTATTCAGTGACCTAAGAAACTCTTCCAACTTATCACCTACAAAGAGAAAGGTAACAGTCACTCCTTTTCCTAACTTCAAAATCATTTATAATATACTAGTAAGGAACGATATTTCCAGTATTGTGTGCAAACTACCCATAAGTCTTATGCAACTGAAAAATTTTAAAGACAGTCTGTTATTTAAAAATACTAATTTTATATAGTTACATATTATTATAGATTAATATCTATAATCAAACTTGTCTTGAAATGTAACTTGGAAATAAGTAGAGATTTCTTGGGCTTGTACTGGGTGGAGAGAAATCACTTTAGGGTTGGTTTGCATGGGAAATAATAATTAGACACAAAAATGAAGATTTAGGTAAGTCAATACAAAAACAAATAATTGCACTTCTGATGAGCGTACTATCTTATCTCTGTAGGCTATTTTTGGGAGAAAATAACCATTTGTTAGAAATAAAATATTATAGTTTACTTAGTTTGCAACTTTATTTTAAAATAAAATTCAGTAGCTAAAATGGTTCAAAGGCCTGTTGTATCCACAAAGCTATACATTGGAATAAGCATAAATATCTTGATTCTATGCCACACCCCTCGGATCTCAGTTTCAATGGAAATGCAAAGAATATGGCATTTCAGTGTTCTGCAAGTCAGTGTCTCAAGGCATTAAAAGAAATGACAGAAATAGAAGTTAATGCATTTTAGAAATTGTCTGCAAAGTGTGGCAAAACTCTTGCCAGTACACTTTTGTGACTCTAATGAAACCCAGAAGACAAGGGGACTATAAGATAGTAGATCTATAACCTACATATAGAAGATAGTGTACTCATCAGAAATTATTTTTTTTGTATTGACTTCTCTAAATATTTATTTTTGTGTCTAATTATCAATATTTCCCATGCAAACCAGCCCTGATGTGATTTTTCTCCACCCAACTCAGATGTCTACTTATTAACCAAAAGGGGTAGATTTTTGTTTTCAGTTTGTTCTTTGTTTTTTCTTAAGTCATGTGAAAGATTCGACCTGGATCTGGAGAAAGCAATGAGGCTAGAAGTATAGAGGCATAAACTAAGGAAGGGCTGCCCCCATTTGACCAAGAGACTAGAAATGTGGAAAGCTTGGGAGATCTCATTCAATTCAACCCTGCATTTCCCTCTCCAGCTTCTCAACGGGCTGGAAAGATTTACTCCTTTTCTACGGAATTTCTCTCCCCTGAGTTCAGAAACCTCTGGTTAGGGTGCGGACCGCGCCTCTTTAGAAACTGCCATGAAAGTTTTCTCGTGCTTTGACTGTGTGTGGTTTTGGGAATGACTTCCAGCCTCTTATCGCCCTAGCCACAGAGATGGACTGGAAAGGAACCACACTTGTGCGTTGGGTACAGCATGAAGCTCCCGGGTTCTGAATCACAAGCAGGAGCTGCCCCCGTCTCCCCAACACCAATTCTTAACAGTACGCCCACCCCCTCCGGGTTTTGTTAAGGAGAGGATAGGCTTGGTGTGGCACTATGGAGGCTGGAAGGAGTCTCACGCGGGAGGGGTAGGGTGCTCAAGGACTCCAGCGCTTGGCGCGTGAAGCTAAGCGGGAGGAAACGCACACGAAAGGGTCTGGGACAGCGAAGAGCATTCCTCAATTTCACCAGTTCCGAAACTGCGCTAGATGCAGTTGAAACAAAAGGGCAATGCAACTAGAGCGAGAGCCAAGATCTCCAGAGTGTCTCTCGCCGGTTCTCCCTCGCTGCACCGAGGACACGCCCCTCTGGACCAACTGGTCAGCTACCACAACCCGGGGCTTTCAGGGCAGGGCAGAGTGGGAACAGCCTTTGCTTAAACCCTACGGTTCCTTTCCTGACCTATCCTACGCGGTTTAGAGTAGAGGCAAACGCTGGGCGAAAACGGAAACAGGGTGAGGAAGGCAAATAAAGCCAGGCAGGTGTGAGGAGCGTCCAGACTGCAGGAGAGGAGGAGCGGAGTAGGAATGGTGGGCGGATGCGAGGGGTGGGGACCACGGGCTGGGGGCTGCAGGAGCTGCGAGCACGTGCTGGCAGAAAAGCACAGAGGGGCTGGGCAGGGATTGGGGCTAGTTGCAGAGAAAGGAATCGGTCTGGCAGGACAGCCAGCGCTGGGAGGTCACCTTTGATGTAGACATCGTCGTCGGCGCGCATGAACCACTCATACTTGTCCAGGTAGTGGTCGTGCATGTACTTGATCATCATGAAGGACTTTTTCTGGGGTGGATAGGAGTCGTCCACCCCTGGCAGCGCGATGACAGGCAGGGGTGGCGGGGGCTGGCCGAGCCCGGCGTTGGGGGGCTGCTGGCTAGAAAAGAACTCCACGCGGCCGGGGATGAAGCGTGCCCAGGTCCGTTGCGCCGCTAATGCGCGGCTGCCCAGGTACTTCTGTGCGGTCATGACCCCCACGTACAGGAAATCCCGGGGTCTGGAGCTCGGGGTGGTGGCGCCCCCGTCCCCGCTGCCGTTGTGGCTACTCCCCGGCCGGCCGTTTGTCCGCTGCCGGGCCGCGCCCCCGTCCTCTTCCTCTGGTTCCCCTTCGGCCATTGGGGCCCCGGGGAGCCCCGTCGCGCCTTCGGGTTCGCGTCCTCGCCGCCGCTGCTGCAGCGGAGGTGGCTGCTGCCAGGGGCTGCTCCGAAAACTGGTTGCCCCAAGTGCAGCCCCAGGCAGCTGGGGCCCCTGGAGCTCCGGGCGTGCGGGGGGCGGCGACTGCTCCAGCCGTGGCCGGTGCTGAGGCTGGGGGAGCGGCTGCTGCGCGCCGGCGCCGGGGCCAGCAGCCGAGCGGCCGTAGTAGGAGCAGAGGCTGGAGCCGCGTCTCTTCCTCTCGCTCAGCTCCGCCACCCTGGGGGCGATGAGCCAGGACGCGGCCGTGAAGCCCAGAACCAACCCCAATGCCACGCTCATCCACGGGCGGCGGGAGCGCACGGCCATCGCTGCCGGCCCCCGCGCGGACGCTAGCTGAGCGGCTGCGGCGCTGCGCTCGGGTTCTCCGCCTGGCACCCGCCCCTCCTCCGCCTCCGCGCCCCCGGCCCCGGCCGCTGCCCGCCGCGGAGGCGCCGACGCCGGCTGGGGTTCCGAGCGCTCCGGGCGCCTCGCCCGCTGCGGGTTGCAGCTGCCGGCCGCGCTCCCCACTGCGCTCTGGGTCGGGGCTCCGAGCAGGATCGGGAGTGAAACTTCTCCCGGAGGCGGCGGCGGCAGCAAGAGGAGCTGCAGGAGGAGGAGGAGGAGGTGGAGCAGCGGCGGCGGCAACGCGTCCGCTCCTGGGCTGCCACCCTGTCACTGGCGCGGCTGGTCCCTCCTCCTCCCTCCTTCCTGAGCCCCCGCCCTCTCTCCCCGCCTCCCGCTCCCCCAGCTGCCGGGCACCGGACTTGCCCGGAGGAGGAGCCACGCGCTCCGCGGCGGCCGGCGGAGGGGAAGCGCGGGTCGCGGTATTTCCCGGGCACCCGCCCTCGGACGCCCCCGTCTGCGCCGGGTCCAGAGCCGCCTCCTCTCCGGAAGGAAACGATCCGGGTCGGGCCGCCTCCAGCTTCCAGCGCTGACGCCCCTCGTGCCTCCTCCCCCAGCCCGCGCTCTCCGTCCCATTTCCCGTCCCGCCCCGCCCCTCCGCCGGCCTCGCAGCTCCGGCGTCCGGGGGCTCCGCGCGCCCTCCTCCCGCGCGCCCTCCTCCCGCGCGCCCTCCTCCCGCGCCCGGCTCCGCTGACCTCATCGGCGGAGCTCGGGCCCCTGAGTCCCCGGCCAGCTGCGGCGTCTGCGGCGGGGCTCGCCAGCCTGGACCCCACAGTCCTTTACGTCCCGGCGTGGCCCTCCCCATTCTGCCACGCCCCAGGTCCACTCTCGGGGTCTTTCGTCCTTTCTGCTTTGTCTCTCACCTTTGCTGCCTACTCCCTGTCTTCACTCTCCACAACTCGTCCCGTTCGCTGCTCGGGAAGTCATGTGTCCCGTCCTAGCATCTCTCCTCCCAACCTTACTCTCCTGTTGCTACCTGCATCCTCCCCTCCCCTCGCCTCTAACCCCTCCCCTCCCACCCCCACCCCCACCCCCACCTCAGAAACACCACTGAAACACCGTTGTCACCTGGCGGCGTCTTTCCTAAAAAAATCTCAGAGGTAGGACATACAGTACCTACCATGAAAGACTGGGGGAGATATGGGGAGTATGCGCTCAATCCCCAAAGAACATAAAAATTCCATGTACCCCACCTGTTGAGTTTGAAAATGTGGGTCCCTTCCTTGCCTCTACTACTGGTCACTTGTCAAGAACAACTAGGAACTATTATATTTTCTGCCTTAGTTGGCTCAGTAGGACTGGTTAATGATGGAGAAATGTGAACACATTTTATCATCAGTGCCTGAAATATACAAAGTAAGAAAATTCTTACCCTTCAGAATAAGATCAATCAGAAAATAAAATGGAAAATAGATTTTTCTTGTCTATAAGCCAATGTCTATAAGCCAATGTCAGGAATATTTTACCTCTCCAATTAGGGAAGAAAAATCTTCAGTGACAGAATCTCAAAAAAAAAAAAAGTTAAATCGTATTGGCCAAAATCATTACAGTTGCATTATGAAGAAATTGTCTGAAGATCTGTGACATTTTTAAGAAGGGGACATTTTAAAACTTTCTCTCTTAGAAGTTGTGAATTTAACTATACTCTGAGGTGCAACTGGCATCCTAAAACCTTTCCTCCTCTTCAAATTTCAGTGTTCTGTTTTGTACATCAAATGCAAAGTGATGGTATTGAATGGCATTAGACATAGGGCTGATCCAGCAAGGTGCTGGCAGTGTCCCTGGAACAGTAGGACTGCTTGGAACCCTTGGAGGAGTGGTTCTTTCCACACCAGTCACTGGCTATGCATGAGCATGTCTGACTAAATCTTTCATCTGCTGGACAATGAAGCTTCTTTTCCATGCGGAGGTCTTGCCCAGAAAGACATGGGGATACAGATTATTGGCTCTTTCTCAGAGTTTAATTTCAGTTAAAATACAAAACTAAACAAACAGGACCCTTCTGGTTTAAAAATATATTTCCCAAGATTA